ATATATGCAGGTAACTAAATATGTTATGAATTTGATATGAGAGAATTCAAACTAAACATAGTGGATGCATGAATTATTTAAAGTAAACATGCAATGGTATGCAAAAATTAAAAGATAACTACTCATAAAGTTTAAAGTCCATGAGCAAGACTATCTCATCTTTCTTGATCACAATTACCATGACTCACATGATGAAATTTGTGAGTAGTGCAGCGTCTGTATTCTTCACTTGAGATGTGATTTGAATTCTTGTGACATCGACCTTTTCTCCAATCTACACATGGTTATATATATACAAACCTGTGAGATGGCAGGGTTCCAATATTGATGGATCTTGAATGCTCAGGCACCCTGGGGTTCTTCCATGTTTCTTCTTTTCTTGTGGAAGCTTGTCGGAAGGTCGAAACGACGTCTATTGTCCTGTCTTATTCCACAATTCAACAGAAAAGGGGTAATCCTACTAAAGCTAGCGGTATGCTAATGATCTAAATCTTTACGCCAATTGTTTCACCGGCAATAGCGCCAAAAATGCTTGTTGGTATTTGTTGGGTATCAATAGTAGGGATACCCAAAGCAAGAAAGTTAGCGCCCACACTGACTTCCCCGGATGGCTCGAGACGTATTAAAAGGTCTCGCCCAACCCTAAGGCCACGGCCTCCGTCTCGCCCGACCCTAAGGCTGCGGGCTCCGTCTCGCCCAACCTCAAGGTCGCGGCCTCCATCTCACCCAACCCCAAGGCCGCGGGCTCTGTCTCACCCGACCCTAAGGCCACGGGCTCTGTCTCGCCTGATCCCAAGGCCATAGTCTCTATCTCGCCTGACCTCAAGGCCACGGGCTCCGTCTCACCTGACCTCGGGCTCTGTCTCGCCCGACCTCAGGCTCCATCTCGCCCGACCCCAAGGCCACAGGATCTGTCTCGTCTGACCTCGGGCTCCGTCTCACCCGACCTCGAGGATGCGGGTTTCATCTCATCCAACGGGGACCCATACCGCTGCCAACCACTCCAGGTCCAAGCGTATGGGTTTGGGTCAAAACTCTAACACTAGGGAAGAAGCTGGCATGCCTCGATGTAACCCATGGCCAAGACGGGCCATACCTAGGGATTCACATCAAGAATAGTGTCGGACGTGTCAGTGCTATTCTGCCTAACCCTTGTATGGATGCTGATAGGCGGTCAGTTCACTATGACGTCCGCCAGGATAGAGTAGAGCGCCATGACCAGCAGATGATGCCTATGCATGGCGCCAGTGATGAACAGGGCCGTGATATGGAGCCATCCCTGTTGACATCTATAGGATCAGCGGGACCCGCATGAAGAAGAAGAAGGACCCGGTGACCCTAGAAGCCTTCCTCTCTCTCTGGTTCTTCTATTTTTCCTCCTCTGAACTCCGCGCTTTCCCTTCGTCTATAAAAGGGAAAGCAGGATGCCTCATGGAGGGGGGCAAAAAACATGAGATCGAAACATAGGAGCACGACACGAGCACACAACTGAGCGGCAATCGAGCTCTAAGCACCCATTCACACCTTCCACCAGAGACTTGGGATCCTTTTCCTCTCTCGCCTATTTGTAACCCCTACTACAAATCAAGTGCCGGTAACACGAGCAGCAACGAACTGGACATAGAGATGTTCCACCCGAACCAGTATAAACCCTTGTGTCCTCCGAGCACACCATCCAAGCCAGAAGCGCAAATACAAATTTACTCCTTGGTGGTCTAAAAACACCGACAGTTGGCTCACCAGGTAGGGGCTTTTTGTGTGTCTCGACGTCCACATCAGGCCTCGGATGGCTAGTCACGGCGTCAGCTGGGTCCCGGGCACGCACGTGCGCTTCGGGAACATAAACTTCATCATTACGACGAAGGGAGAGTTGGCATAGGTTCCCACTGCCGTCCAACCTCTCCATTCTGCCGGTCTCGACACGATCATTGAGGCGCTTGAGGAGCTGCAGCTACACGCACCGGAGGCATGCGCCCCCAAGAGCGACTAGCTCCTCGGCTTCGATTATGGGAGGCTAGAGCGCTAGCTCGGCGCCTTCCTGGGACCTCGACCGTCTCGGGAGGACCTACGCCGCCTCACCTTCTCGTCCGCCAACATCATGACGTAGCTTGCCAGAGAAGAGCCGCTCTCCCTAGAATACCTCATCCAGAGCGCCCCGATGGTGCTCCCGTTCGGTCTGCACCACGCCATAGAGACCATTGGCCACCTTGTGGCGCCGCGCACGCCCCCAACCCCTACGAACGACGAGTTCGTAGGGATGACCGAATACGTCACGGAATCTTTCCATGACCTTTTCGTGAGAGAATCGGAGTCGCCCTCTAACTCTGACTCTAGCAGGGGAGCCATCACCCCTCGTAGGAATATTTCATGGTAGGTAACCCGAGGGATACATCAAAAGCATCCACGAGGGAGGGATACCCCAACAGACGACCTCGACGATGAGGTCGAGGGGGATGCAGGGGCCCCACCTCATCTACAGGTAGAGCAGCTGAGGGCGCAGCACCAAGAGCTCGAAGAAGCATAACTCTAGCTCAAGCAGGAATGCGTGGAGCTCGAGCGAGACAACGAGCGCCATAGAGACGATGGGCGTACGCGCGCCGCGGCCCGCAACGTGAACCGGAGGATCATCGAGGACGATGAACCCCTCCCACACTTCACCCGGGCAAGCCAGAACATCGCTGTTGTGGCGGCCTTGCTCCGAGGGCTTTCAGAGCCCGTGACACCCAAGGATCATTGGGCTCATCGTGAGATTCGCATGTTACTCGAGCGTGTGGCGGCGCAGCAGCCTGAGAGCTAGCTGTCTCGATGATGTGAGCTCGATGCCAGCTAGTGCACACCCTCGGAGCAACCCGACAGGGATGTGTCAGTCAACCAAGCATAGTGAGGCGGCAAGCTACGCGCCGCGGTCCCGGTGCATGAGCGTCCCGGCCTCCACCGTGACGTGTGCGACACCCGAGATGCCCGTAGGCATGCCCACAACGATGAGAGGGAGGAGGCTAGCCATGGCTACCACCCTTGTCATGACGGATGCTACGATAGCGGCGGTGACTAAAGCCCGAGCCCCGACTTGCCAAGACCTCAGGCCTTTGGCCGACATATCCTCAACGCCGTCTTCCCACCTCGGTACCGACCGCCGACCAACATCCCAAAATACTCTAGGGAAACAAACCCTGGACTGTGGCTCGAGGATTGTCGGCTTACTTGCCAAGCCAGTGCAGCAGATAGTGATAATTTCATTATCCATAACCTTCCATTGTTCCTGGCCGATTTGGCGTGAACGTGGTTGGAACACCTTCCGTCCAACCGAATCCAAAGTTGGGCAGACCTAAAAGAAATCTTCGTGGGAAACTTTCAGGGCACATACGCACATCCTGGGAACCCATGGGATCTCAAAAACTGCCGATAGAAGTCCGAAAAAACTCTTCGTAGGTACATCCGGCGTTTCTCCCGACGCGTGGTGATCTCGAGGTCCATCTAGTTCGTCTTGGGATCAGCACGCACACCTTCTATCTGGCGCGCCACTGTTGATGAAATCCGATCGGTAGTCTACCGAGGGGTATGCTCACAGTAGTAGATGAATCAATGGAGGTACGCGTGATGGGAGCTAGACGGTGACACAGAACGCAGAGACAACGATTTAGGCAGGTTCAGGCCGTCAGCTTGACGTAATACCCTACATCCTATGCCTTTGGTGGATTGTATTATGAGATGAGATGAAAATGAGGGATTCCCTACCCGCCTTATATAGCTCAGGGGTAGGGTTACAGGTCGTTTGTATCTATCCTGATCGGTTACATGATATGTGTTTACAAGGAATACGATATTAGCATATCTGATCAGATCTTCCTTCGTCATTAAGGATGCTTCACTCAGTCTTGCGATGCACACCGACCTATGCCGTGCCCCACGCGGTTTGATCTTGTGGACTGGGCCTCCCCTAGGAGCTCGGACCATGTACAGCCCTGTGGGTATATGGGGTTATACCCCCACAGTTACGAATGTTTATTTGCTTCAAACGTATATATGTTGTATTCAAGTGTTTTATGTTTCATAGAGAGTCATGGGGGCATGGTCTAGGTGCCGGAGATAGAGCACGACGAGCTGGGGGAGGGGGCGGCGGATGGATGGGGCATGTTCATCCTCGTCCCGGCTCCTAGGTCCCGCCTGTGCGGAGAGAGAGGAGGAGGTCAGGGAAAAGAAGCTGCGGGTGCGGCGTTTCCTGCGGACACGCGTGACAGAGGAGGCACGGACGTCCAGACTCATGGAGAGAAGGGGGCAGGGTAAGGAGCGGTGGGGCGACAATTTTTTTTGACAGGCGTACACGATGAAGGAGACGCGGACGTGTGGACTTCTGTCCGGACGTCTAGGTGTTATGCAAGTTATTTTTCCTGAAGCCGTTTTCTCTTCCTGTTTGGCAGGGCTCCTCTTCGGCTCCGGCTCCGGCTCCAGCTCCTCAGAGGAGCCCTACCAAACGTTTTCTTAGAAGAGCCGTTTTTCAGTAAAAAACAGAGGAGTCGGAGCCTTTGGAGAAGCCACAATTTATGGCTCCTTCAAAACAACTCCGGCTCCTCCGGAGGAGCCCCTCAAGAGGAGCCGTGGCAAACAGGTCCTAAGAAGAGTCTAAAGCCGAACCATGGAAGCACCTTCTGTCTACCGGTCATCAGTCGGCGGCGTCAGCTGGTACCTATGGGCTGACCTGTGGGCCGCGTACCATAAACATAATCAGTAGCCGGAGCCCGGAGTCGGGCCCTCCCCTCCGCCCGCGACCGCGCGAGCTGAACCCGACCCAGCAACCAGGCCACCGCCCCTTTCCTCTCCGATCCGGATCTCCCCACCAGCTCCGGCGAGCCATCGCCGCGTCGCCTCCACGCGACCGACTACTTCCCATATCTATCTATCTATCCGGCATCCCCGCCGCCGCGCGCACCAAGGTTGCGTTCACCATATTGCCTGTTTGCTTATCTGCTCCCGAGCCCCGCAAACCCTAGTCGCCGCCGCCCATGGACATAGAGACCGACGGGCGATTCGGCAACAAGCGAGTGCACAATCGCCTCGGCCCGGGCTCTGGCGGCGCTCCGTCATCTACCAACGGGAAGGTCTGCAACTACTGGCGCGCCGGGCGGTGCAACCGCTTCCCGTGCCCCTTCCTCCACAGCGAGCTCCCCGAGGCTGCGCCGCCCAAGCGCCCCACTGGACCCGGGGGGAACGTGTGGCGCAACCCCCACACCGGAGGAAGAGGCGGCGGCGGTCACAGTAGATGGGGGAAGGGCCCCGGAGGCGGCAGCGGGATTGCGAGCCACAAGCCGCCTGACAGGCCCTGCAAGTACTTTCTCGCCGGTACCGAATGCAGCTATGGCGAGAGGTGCCGCTATCCGCACAGCTACTGCATAAGCGATAGTATTACGATGCTTACCCCGCTCAAGGGCCACGAGAAGGTAAAGTTTGATCTCTGCCAATTTGCCCTCTGGTAAAAACAAGGAGGTTTTCTAACTGAGATGCATTGGATGCCTTCAGGGTGTTACAGGCATTGCACTGCCCGCCGGGTCAGACAAGCTGTATTCCGGGAGTAAGGATGGAACTGTTCGCATGTGGGATTGCCAAACTGGCCAGGTAGCTGAGATGCCATTAGATTGAATCTTCGAGAGTTTTGTATGTTCCTTGTGACAAAATTTCAGTACTTCTTTGCTGTTGGTGGTCTGTTAGTGTGCCGGTGTCATCCCTGTGGGTCGTGAGGTTGGGTGTATGATCATTGAAGGTCCGTGGTTATTTGTTGGAATGCCTGATGCAGTGAAGGTACGTAATACTTCAAATTTGTGCATTGCTCACTGTTTCTGAAGTTGAGGCAACTTAGCATTAGCTCATCAATGTGATAGGCTCAAGGCACGACTCTCCCGCCTATCATCTAATTGGACACTAGGCACCGCTGCTGCTCCCTTAGCTCTTTTTAAATTCTGATGAAGTTTATCACCATTGGTGTTCTGCATGCATGAATATGTAGTCTTTTCCTTCAGGTTTGGAATATGCAAACAGCAGCGGAAATGAGCCTTACCGGACCAACTGGGCAAGTCTATGCACTCGCCGTTGCCAGTGAGTTACTCTTTGCTGCAACACAAGTAAGCTTCCCGTATTTTGGGTTTACCTTTGTTTTGTCTTGAAACTTCAAATTCTTCATTTATTTGATTCTCTTTTCTTGTGCTTGGTGCAGGACGGGAGGATTTTAGCATGGAGATTTAGTGCCTCAACTAACTGTTTTGAACCAGCTGCTTCTCTTGATGGCCATAAGCTTGCTGTTGTTTCATTGATAGTAGGAGGCATGAGGCTTTATTCTTCTTCAATGGATAAAACTATCAGAGTATGCAAAGCTTGTTCACTTGGGCTCATGCTCAGTCCTAAGATAGATTCAATTTACGAAGAAGTATATGTTGCGTCATGAGATTTTAAGTTCTTGTTGATGTTTGACTCCCTTGATTTATGCCAACCTTCACTTAAAACCATATTGCTTTTTTATCATTTCTGTTCCCTGTGGTTGAAGTTTACAGTGCACTGCATGCTCAATTAATGCCTCGTGCTCAACATAGTTATAAGTTTCTCTGTATTTAACCGGCGGATGTTGCTATTTAACAGTCATGTAGGATCATCTCTTGAATGTATGATTAGTATTTCAATCAACATAAATTCAGCAAAATATTGAAACTTAATGCAGGTCCAAATCTGGTCCTGATTAGGCACCCTCATAGTCTCGTTATGGAGGTGGTACAGGCATGCATCATATAGTATCTGCTCTGCGGTTGACAATCCCTTGATTCCCATATAATAGCCAGTTTGCATGGACGTTTTGTGTTGATATTTCAATTGGCTGCAGAACATTTGGAGCTAGTGTTTGAAAAAAGAAAAGAAAAGAAATGCACTATAGTACTGGATAATTTGATTGCCAAAGGATACCTCTCAGTGCTGGATCTGTGTGCTAGTGGATAGAAGATATGTACATGGTGGTGCATCTGAAAGTTAAATTTATTCCCAGTGCAATGAATGCTTGTTACTCCAGCGTTTTGGTGTCTTTGCTCTTTTGGAGAAAATGGGATGTCACTTGTTGTAATGTGCCTGAATTCTCAATTGAATTCCTTGTTCATGATAGCTCTCAGATGTTATTTTATTACATTTTACATTTTTCCATCAGGGCAACAGAAACATCATTGTCTATCTTGTTAAGTCTCGTTCTCAAAATATAATAACGAAGGTGTGAATTTCAGGTATGGGATTTGGCAACATTGCAGTGCATACAGACTCTTTCTGATCATACCGATGTTGTTATGTCTGTGCTGTGCTGGGATCAATTTCTATTATCTTGCTCTTTGGATCAAACAATAAAAGTTAGTCCCCACCTTCGCCATCATTTTGTTGAGCAATTTCATAAATTTATCTATCTATCCATATTAGGCAATTCCCTTGTCAAAGCTGTTCATGGCTCTAATATTTATTTTGGCGCAGGTTTGGGCAGCTACAGAGAGTGGAAATTTAGAAGTAACATATACGCACAAAGAAGATCAGGTACAAGACCGTACACTAGTACAGTCTTAATTGTCGCATGTCTGTTGTGCTATTATAGTCTGTATTGTGACCCACTTTTCCAGTTAAAACTTGGGGCTAATTTGTCTACCTCTGTTCCCCAGGGGATATTTTTTTAGGGGGGGACATGTTCCAGATTGTTTTTGGAAACATGTAAACCATCATAAAAGATCGAAATTCCTTTCATGTCACTAAAAAAATTCTTCTGCACCGAACAAGCAAGCGAGAAAGCTACTCTTCCTCCCTTTATTTCTCTCCTCTGAAGAACATTAGGCACTAGCTCTATCCGATTAAGTCCCAAGATCTCCCACATCTCGGACGCAGTCGTGGGCCAGCTCTTGTGCACAGAGCACTGTGCGGTGGTGCAGGGGAAGGAGGTGCCAGCGGGATGCTCTGTGTGTGTGTGTGGGGGGGCGGGCACTTGCTTCGTGCACAAGAAGCGCACTCGCGGATCAGTGATGCGGAGATTATGGAGGCGCATTGTGTGCTGCTGTTTGTGCCGCAGCCGTTGGTATCCGCGGAGGACATGCAGGGCAGCAGGGTACTCTACTCTGGCGCTGCAGTCGCCCGACAGCCGGTGTCACAAAACGGCATCCTGGCACATTGAAGCGCTCATTGGTACTGAGGTGCACTGTGGTGGAGGCGGGCTAGGGGAAGGGAAAGGGGTGCGTCCTCAGCGGCAAGCGTCGACACCGGTGGGGATGCCGTGTTCGGGGCTTGCAGCGACAACGTGGCAGCAAAGGATGACAGCAGCAAGACCTGCCTCTCAACCGCCATGGCAGAGGCGAGTCTAATTGCGGCCCAGCGCTCAGCGTATGCGAGGTCGTCCTCGTCGTGGCCCATGTTGATTTGGTAGTCAAGAGGCGAAAGGGAAGGAGAGCACACATTAGGTGTCGGACTGCGGACCTACAGCTGCACAACTCGAGCATGAGGCAGAGCACAGGACAGGCATTGGACGGGAGGCCTGCGGCTGCACGCATGGCAGAACGCGAGACAGGCGGCACTGCAGCAAGGAACGCCGGCCTCTGACGCACAGTGGCCTATGTGCGTGGTGACGAACACGCGAGTTGCTGAGGTGAAGGGTGTGAGACATGGCATACGGCAAGGTGCGTGCGATGCAAGCCCGAGGCAGAGCACAGGACTGGCGGCACCATAGCAGGCTGCACTGACCGCTAGCGCTCTGCGCCTCAGCGGGCCTGCATCAAGCGTGCGTCCCCTTTGCTCAGATTCTTTTACAGCTGTGTTCCAGTGACCTTGAGGCCTGTGTGGTGAATGAGAAAGAAGAGCTGGGTAGAGAAGGCAAAATAGACATTGTGGACTCCTGTTAGCCACTGTTTCTGCAAAATTAGATGGCAGTGATACACAGGGAATAAAAAATCAAAATGATGGCAGAATAGGCATGGCAACAAACTTTTTTTGTGTCAGATATAGGATTTAAATCTTTTTTTTAATGGCACATAAGGAATGGTCTTGTTGTTTTTTTAGTGTTAACCATCCAGGTGTAGTTATTGCCTGTAAGTTATGTTGAAACTTAAGCAATCCAAGAAGTTTAGTGTTAACCATCGTTCTAGACTAGCGGTTCGATCGTGTCAATATATAATGATTTAGTTTTTTTATCAGTAATGTATGTGCACTATTATTTAGCTAACATCTATGCTAGTACTTGTCGCTGAGACTTTAACAGAAAAGCCTAGCCTAGCTGATTTCCATCTCTTGATGGTAGGCAGTCGTGTGCAAGGAGCTTGGGCCTTTCGTACCCAGACATGCATGGAAAGACCTCTGGAATAAAATAATACGGCCGCAAGAAGCAGGTCCCCAGGGTTGGCGAGGCATGTTGGTCGGCTGGCACCTGTTTCCTTGTGTCAGTTGTTTTTTCCTCACAGCTCGTGCTAACCTTGCCCAAGTGGGAGAGCCAAATCGGCTCAACTGGCTCAACGAGGATTTTCTTGGTAGCGCCAGCAAGCTCTTAGTACTCCTACCAAATATGTATCCTTCCCAGCAAGGTCAAGTAAGGCTAGGCAAGAGATCGAAACGTGCCCAAGAGGACAACAACAGGCCTTTATTTCAGTCATATTTGTAGTCACCCGAAAAAGTACACCCTAACTGGTAGAGAAGTACACAAGGTTAGCATTTGAGAGAAGAAACGTCAGCCTACAAACAGAAGGTTCTCGAGGTTACGTTTCCCATGCCCACCAGGCACTAAGCCCTTAAAATGCCTTAATCTTCCTAAGGGATAATTGAGAATAGTATTTCGAATTCTTAATGACCAACAGCCTCTTAACTCCTTTAAGAATTCCCGGCTAACCACTTAGCTACTGCACTGCACTTTAAAACCAAGAACAGTTGCTATATCTGTACTGTTCTTTTTTCTTTCTGAACTTTTGAATTGAGAACTATTACTTCTGCCTGTACTCATTAGTCATTACTGTCCATGAGAATCTTTCATTTTGTCAGCAGTTTAGCATTTCTTTTCATTAAACATGGTTCATGACTGTTGCCAATTTATTCTGTAGCATGCAGTGCAATTCTTTATTACCCTTTCTTATGTTTTGACGGTTATGCTAATGGTTATCTTCTGCCTTTAGGGTGCGCTTGCCCTCAGTGGTATGCCTGATGCACAGTCAAAACCTGTGCTATTGTGTTCATTAAATGACAACACTGTCCGCCTATATGATTTGCCATCGTAAGCAAGCTGCAATATTTTGATATTTTTCATGTATTTTATTTATAATGTCCAGGAGTGACTCTTGCTTCTTGTATAGGTTCAATGATAGAGGCAGACTATTCTCCAAACAAGAAATTAGGGCAATACAAATGGGTCCTGGTGGTTTATTTTTTACCGGGGATGGAAGTGGTGAGCTGAAGGTTTGGCAGTGGGTAGATGGAGCCCAAACCTAATGAACATAGTGTGCTAGATTAGTCTCTCATGTATTTTATGAGGGAGTTCTTACAAATACAGGTTGTGGTTGGTGGCCCGTTCTTTTTGTAATATGCCCCACATTTGTCGCAAAGGATATGAGATTCAGTCGATCTGTGGTATGCCTGATGCAGTGAAGCGAGAAGCAGAGTCTGTGTTATGGACTGTAGTTTTGTCCTGGAATGAATTTCAAAACAGGAGAATAATTGGTTGTAATATGTAAGGCACTGGAACCAGCAAGTCTGACGACTGCTTGGAGGTGCTGACAGTTCCAAAAGGATATGCTAATATAAAGGGTTTGTTGAGCTGCATTTGCAAATGAGTGGATCTTTTCAAAGCAGTACCATTTTTCATTGTTTGAGGACTATGGGTATCTCTCATTTAGGAACTGTTGAACGATCATGTTTTTTCAAGCATATCAGCCTCGGTTCATGTAACCTCATTTAGTCATTTGGCTCGGTGTGTGGCAGCAAGAGCAGCACAGTATTTGGAAGCTCCACACAAAACTTGTGCCGGTATTTATCTATATTTGTGCTTGGATAGCTTCCAGGCTCTGTTGATATATACTTCTCGGGGAATCACGAGAAAATAAATGATGTGGTCAATTGGAATTGTGTAGTAAGTACGTGGTGCTGTACTGACTTGTTTTCATGCGTCGTTGGATCAGAAACAGGTGCAACGGTTAAATCTGTACGTGGTACTTGTTTTGATGTCATCATTGTTTGCTTCACTTGAATATTCCATTCCATGATACGTTGCGGCGAAAAAAGTTGGGTTGGAGGCTTGGAGTCATGCTGGTCGTGTGACTCGTGTTGCCTTTTTGTCGCTGTTGCTGGTACCATTGTTGTTTGTGATATGATAGATTGATCGGAAGTACACGATGATCGGAAGAAGTTATTGTGACCGCAGAACATGTGATCGAAAGCAGCACTGCACATCCTAGGGCCACTGCACAAGACCATGAGTCATGACAGATTCATTCTACAGTGGCCCCGCGATATGCAGTGCTTCGAAAGGTTGGAAAAGGAGTTTCAAAAAAAAAAGTTGGAAAAGGAGCATCACAGGATCGATGAGAGCACTCTGACGCGGCCTTGGACGAGATGCACTGATGCAGATTGAAGTGTGTAGTGGCTAGGATACTGAATAGCAACACAAGAGGCCTTGTCAACCTTCTCATGTTGAAACCAGTGTTTTTCTCAACGCTAACCTGTATAGACAGTTGGCCACCTATTAGTTGAGCTAAACGATAAATGAGCCACATAGCTAATTAAATAAGATATGCGGCTAATTAAACAGAAAATGACGTGTAACGTTTACCGTTTAGGTCTTGTTTGGATGTAATTGAATTCGCAATAATCCACATGAACTAAATTTTACCCCAATCCACCCAACCCACATGGATTGAGTTGAATCCAACGACACTCAAATATGGCCTTACCTGGTGTTTAGATGGGCTGAACGACCATTTAGCGAACAAGCACACATGAAAGGCGAGACGATCGATGCTGCCATTAGCATAAGTACGCTAGAGAAATATGTTTGCATGGGGATTCTGAGCTGATGTGTGGTTGGAACGATCGAGCTGACGAGTGTGCTGATTCTTCCGCCTTCCGGCAGTTTCGCCATCCACGATGACGACCTTCTGAAAGAAGAGATAATATATCTCTCTTTTGAAAAGCTAGCAGTGAGGTTCGCAAAAAAAACGGGAAAAGCTAGCAGTGAGGAGGGAATATCCTTGGTACATCCCTTGCAGTCCTGTAGTACGCTAGCGCTTGTACTGTGGTAATATCTAGGAGCCATCCGTTTAGTTCCATCCGTTTAGTGGTATAAGTTTTGTGGACAGAACAAGTATTTTGTTTGCTGGTAGTACTATGTGTTACTTCATAATCATATGCTCTAAATAACGTATAATTTTGTTAAGTTATTTGGCACAGGCATGTTATAAGATGTGCTAGACATACAAATTTATTTACTAGGTCTCATTATAAAATCATGCTTCTTTGCTCTAACACGACAACAATTATAATCTATAAATAAAATCGAAGCATGGTATTTCTTTGGTTTGCCATCTCACTTCGTTCGTCTGTCGATCCCTCTTCTCTCTCGACTATCACCTCTTCCCCTTTTATGCTGCCATGGATCCACATAGCCACATTGGTCGACGTTTTTGCCACGTGTGTGCCGTCCTACTCTGTGGCATGCCATCTACATTCAAGGAGTTGGATGTGCGGGTGGGCACGCTCATGAGTATGCTCGTCCGCAAGGGCAATGGCATGATGTTGGGCGAGGATGGTGCAATGTAGCAAATGAAAGGGGTAAAAGAGGAAGAAGACATGGGCAAAATATAAATTCCTCCTTCTATTTCTTCAAAATTAGAAAGGGAGTATTATAATCATTGCAGTGTTCTATAGCAAAGACCTAGATTTTTCTAACGGTACCTAACAAATTTGGTCGTTTGCAGTGTGAAATAGCCAATTCTATGTAAGTTGTTGGATATCCCAACGCAAATTTTACAATTCATAATTGGTAAGTAGGAAATTTCATGAAATCAAAAGGAAGCCTAAGTGTAGCATTAGACTTCAATAAGAAAATGTAAATGAATAGGCTGAAATGAATCGATTGATGTAAATCTAGGATTATATGGATTCGGTTTTGATATAAATGTAGATAATCACATGCACACTAAAATCTATATTGATACTCGTTTTGTCCCACAAAAAATGACATTCTCGCTTTTCGAGAAGTCAATCATTTTTTTTAAGCTTCAACGTGGGGGGAGGGGGGGATTCCCCACCTGATTTTATTGATATTTAGCTCTGGTTATATGATTACAAAAGGTTTGTAAAGGGGTTTTCGCTTGGGATGGGGATAGTCTAAATTACATAGATACATTGTTCACTGCAGAATCAAGGATTTTTGCCCAATCCTCTATGACTTTTTTACTCTTATTGGGCATTCTTGCTCTGCAAAGGTTTGCTTGGGCCTTGCATGATAGAAGTAGTTGCCGGAGATTTATTTGCTCGGTCTCTGAAAACAGAAGCATTTCTCCGTTTCCATAACTGCCAGCAGCATAGGATGACAAACGCGATGTACTGATCATCCGGTATGCCTCTGATTTTCTGAATGTTTTGCCAATTGCTGCACTGTAGATTGGAGGTTGATTGTATGCCAATTGTCGACCAGAACTGGACAGCGATCGAGCGAGTCAAACAATTTCAACTTTAGCTAAATATATATAAGAAAGTATTAATATTTTAGTGCATAATTAGTATCATTAGATAAATCACGGAATGTATTGGAGCGTTAAAAATATTGCTAATATTTTTTACAAATTTAGTCAAACTTAAAAAGAATTTAAGTGACATTTTTTGGGGGTGGGGGTGGGGGGCGGAGGGAGTATTTAGGAGTGTTGTAGCGTGCTAGACACTCTGTACCTAACTAACACGTGTCTGCTACCGTATTAGTTTATATATCCCCTCAAGCATGACCTTGATCTTCACGTGGAAATTTCGAGATATTACCGGAATGCCTGTCATCATAGTATTAAAGCAACACTACAGGGTACACCGAACGATTTCAACTAACATGTGCACGAAAGAATGTTTGTTGTTCTGAAACTTTACATTAATATTAATACGAAGTGGGTACTGCGAAGCATATGATTGTATTAAAGGTAAATGAAGTTTACACTTTACACTTCATTTGGCCGATCGAGATCATGCACAGGGATTACACGTGGCGCTTGCGATCCCTAGCAAATGCACAATAGAGTACAGATTTCACATGCCGGTATCGTAAGCATGTTCGCCGCATCTTTCGAGATTCTCTCTCAAAAATCGTCCCCAGCTTTTTGCTAGGAGCTACTCCTACTGATCGGGACTGAGAAAAAAAACATGAGGCGGTTGGCCTTCCGGGGAAAGACGACGAGGTTTTGGCCTTGCCGGGTAGGTGTATTGAATATTCTCGGGTTTATTCCCTGAGTGACTGACAGAGTGACAGTCTGCATCATCGGTGTTCCATCACAAAGTACAGGGCACAGAATTTTTGCGGGTACTGGATTACTGGATGTTGGATTCTGGATGTTAACGACGAAAGTGACGGGAAACAAGCGTTGTCACGCGATTGGTGGAGCAGTTCTCTTTTACTTCCTCCGTTCACAAAAGATAAAATTCTAATTTTTTAAGTTAGATAATTTAAAATTTAACTATAATTATATAAAATACTAATATTTAGGGTATAAAATAATAACTATTAAATTAATTATAAAAAATATTTTTATAGTAAGTCTAGTTAGAATTTAAATATTAATACTGTTTTCTATAAACTTGATCACGGTTAAAGTAGTTTGACTTATATAAATATCATAATTATATATATATATATATATTGTGGATGGATTGGATAGAAAAGAAAATATCAATACTCCATGTTTGTTAAGAAAAATAGTGGCAGTTCGCAATTTGTTATAGTCTAAAGACAAATAGAGCTTTTGCCGTTTAGCAGCTTACAGCTACATCAAATCAAAGAAATAAGAAGTCTTAACCCTCAAACTTAAATCTGGCACACAACAAGATTTCAAGCTGGGCCTCTCTTCCTTTGTGCCTTTAGGAGAATTTTGCAAAACATATATATGAGTACATTAGTTTTGAACTTTTGTCACTAGCCGGGTCAGAAACGCCACCTATTTAGGAAGACAAACAACAGCCTTTAGGAACTTTTCTCATTGTTTTGATGGAGTTGCCCTAATTATTGTAATCATTGTTTTCTTCTATAACCTCCGTTGGGGACCATTGTTTATCTAGTCTAGGTCTTCTTTTTCTTTATTAAATAATCGGCAACTTTGCCCGATTTGTTTAAAAAAGAACTACAGTGATTTAGAGGGAGAGGGTCATTGCAATTTGCAAGCGGTCCCATCCTTCGTCTCCCGGATGGTACCACATTGTCATTTAGTCTTGAACCAAGCAAACCACAACTCCTCATTAGTATTATTTGCAACAACACTAAGTTGTGTCCTGCTCAAGGCATATGATATGGTGACCAACGATGAACCATCTCCGATGCTACTTTGCTATTTCATTTGAGCTGAGTATATGGTGGGTTCAATGTCTTATGGATCGAACCTATTGCAAGTTATTTGCCGGAGCTTTCAAAATAGTTTATAGGCTGAACACATGAGGAGCGCTACCAAGCAGGGGCGGATGTAGTGAAGGTGCATGGGGGCACAGCTGTTGTCGGATATATGGCCCAAGGTACCTGCACCGTCTGTATATTCGACCACGCCTATCGACCAAGCGAAGACAACAAGGAATGAGGCCCAAGAAGGCCCGACAAACTCAGCAGCTTGGAGATCAAGTCGTATCGAGGACATCCGGAGCCATCATATCCCGGAGATAGGCTTAGTAGAGAATCGCTTGGAGCTCGATCACGTGATACCCGGTGTCAACGAACAGTCCGCGCGCACCCGACCCCAACCCGTTACCCGTGCTGAAACCCAAACCATCTCGGCCGATGAATCGGGAAGGAGAGGGGGGAGGGGAAAGAAACAGGAGCGAGGAGCAGAGGTCAGGGGTGGCGAGGCATTTTTGGCCACAGGGGCGCTGCCAAAAGGCGTCGTCCCGATCGAATCCGCCACGTCCGCATCGGCGACCCGACAGCAACACGGCCCGCGGGGAGAGTGCCTGTCTCCGCCACCACAACCCCGGCGAGGTCCCCCCCTCCGTCCACACGGCCGCCACACCTCCTACCCCTCCGTCTTCTCCCTCCCCTCGCGCGTCGCCGCTATAAATACCTCCTCCCGCCTCCTCCTCCCCTTCCATCTCACATTCTGACTGACACAGACAATCCTATTGCATTCATTCGCCGCACACGCGCCATTGCCGCGGGTGCACAAGCTCCCGAGGCCCTCATCGCCGTGGCGTTCGTCTCGCCGGATCGATCGCTCCGTCCCTGCGCACGCACCTGCATCAATTTGGCTTTCCTTCCTGGCTCTGAATGATGCCTTCCCCGTAGGGCTTGCGTTCTCTCTGCTTTGATTTGATCGTGCCCAGCTGGAGCACACAAATTGCCTCCGTTTGCCGGTTCTGTACGTGCGCGATCGAGTTTTGTTGATGGTCATCTAGCCAAGAGAGGCGATCGATCATCCGGCGAGATCGGAGGAGGGGACGGAGCCGCGCGCCGTAGCTCGTATAATTCAAAAAAGTGCGCCACGGTAAGCCATCTGTTCTGTCGTTATTCCCCTGTTTAAACCCGAAATTAGATTTATCTTCTCCTCATGTCGAATATACGGAATTTCAGCATTTAACTCAGAACTTGATTTTTTTTGGCCATTTTGTTTGTTGCGCTTGGAACATACGTATGTATAATTTCTTCTTCTTTTTCGTCTTTTTCATTGGTGGTGGTAGTATATGCTACCTTTTTGTAGGCCTCTACTCTCTCACTATCTCAACAAACAAGTGATTGTGAATGAACGGTGAGAAACACCGAAACACATTATATGTCTTGTTTTAGGCAATCATTTCCAAATGGGTACCTTCTATACTGCACATGCCTGTCATTTTTCGTTAGGGAACCTTAGGAGTATCACCACTGATGGTTGAGATCAGAGGCTGCACCAGTTTGTATGTACTGATGAAGAAAGCATCTTCAGATGCAATTATTTTCTTCTTAAGATAATGGCATAATTTCATGGTGAATTTCATCCACTAATTTCCCATGAAAAATTACTTTTCCCGCTAGTGCATCCTTTTTTTAAGAGTGACCATCCTCAGCTCTACGGGTCTTTTCTTGATCATCTAACACCTGATGGTTCACTTTCGTGGTACCACTGCATATCAAGTCCAAACAAAAGTTTTTATTTTTCCTCTTTTGTCTTTTTTTTTTAAAAACAGAGTATGCATTGCACCTTCACTTTCCGGGCACAGCACAGTACGGCTTTACAATTGGCATGGCCAGTTCTCTCCACGCGCAGCATGCGCATGAAGAGCGTAAGGATGTCGTCATAAGGTGCTTAGCTCTTGGGAGCCCCTAGAGCCGTTTTTGTGTGTTACTCGTACTCTATAGTGTTACTGCACATATCCTGGACAGCGAAGTAGTATCCTAAATTGGCTTCATCTGACAATGTCACTAGACGATTCTGTGTCACCTTGCTTGACACGTGCCATATCCTTTTGGATCTATCTGGAATATTTTTTGCTTTAGCTAGAAATTTTAATGTTATCTTAGGTTCTCGATTGTAAAGTGACTTTTGTCCAATTATTCATGTCGGGCTATGGTTTTTTTTTTTTTTTTTTTTGCTTTGCTTTCATGCAGGGTGACCCTTGATTTGCAATTTAGCCTTAAGATGTGTGCTATACTAAATTACGGCAGGAGCCTCATTAAGATTTATTGTTGGGTCTTTTTTTATCTAAGTGCATAAAACGCGACTGAAAATAGTGTCACAATAACCATCCTTTCAGTTTCAGTTTCAGGTGCTGAAACCAAGATGGTTAATTTCGGTAAGAAATTGATGGCGGACCAATTGGAGGAGTGGCGAGAGTAAGTTACTTCGGTACTCAGAAAATTTTGCAATCATTTTAAGCTACGGTTTCATTATGTAACTATATATGCAAACATAGATATTTAGTTCAAATGTCCTTACTGTTGTCCTTACTTTGCACCTTTGATATTAGAAATGCAACTGAAGCTATATATAAAAGGTTCTTTGTTATCGTGCTTCTTATAAACCCGATAGTTCTGTATACCTGGAATTTTCTTCAGTTCCATTTCTCATGAAACACCCTTTCGTTCACAATATGAACAAGTTTTCCCTTAAAAAACCTCAATGACTCTTCTTTCTCTTTTGCTTTTGATAGATACTATATTAATTATAAGATGATGAAGAAAAAGGTAAAACAGTATGTACAGCAGACCCAAACTGGTGGAAAAAATCGTGACCAGGTTCTTAAGGAGTTCTCAAGGGTGCTTGATGACCAGGTACCATTGAGCATATTTGCCCCCTACCCCACAGTTTAAACCATCAACACCGAAATGTCCATCTTCAGTTGCATGTTACTACCTTATTAACAGCGTTCACATAAGCTTCTTTCTTGTAGATTGAAAAGATTGTGCTATTTCTTCTGCAACAACAAGGTCATCTGGCTAGGAGGATCGAGAATTTAGGAGCGCAGCGTGCCATACTTATGGAACGGTCTGATGTATCCCAAATTTGTCAACTACGCCAGGCTTACAGGGAAGTTGGATATGATCTTGTGAAGCTACTTAGGTTTCTTGATATGAATGCTACTGGTATCCGGAAGATACTTAAGAAGTTCGATAAGCGCTTTGGCTATAAGTTTACAGATTATTACGTCTCTACCCGAGCAAACCATCCTTATTCTCAGCTTCAGCAGATCTTCAAGCAAGTGGTAAACTATCATGCTACTGCATCCTTTTTATTTGAAAAAGGATCATCCTTTTCCTCTAATTGCACTTCGCGAATACAGGGAGTCGTGGCTGTTGTTGGTGCTTTGTCTCGCAACCTTGCTTATCTACAAGATCATCAAGGAAGCTTAGCAAATATCTATGATTACCCATCACTCATCTTGAAGGTCTTACATTCTTTTTCTATCCTCTTAACCATATAATGTATTCCCATATGATCTGAACTCTAAAGTCAACATGCTCACCTTTTCTTCTCATTTGCAGGATCCCGTCATAGAACAAATAAATCATTCAGTACAAAAACTCACGCACTCCACAAGCTTTCTGCAATTTTTAGGGCAACATGCACTTATCGTTGCGGAGGATATGCAGAGTGGCTCAGATCTCGGTGATGACAAGGATTACCATTTCTTGTCACTGCTGCTAAACTTGGTAAACACGTTTCTGTACATGGTCAATACATACATCATCGTTCCAACTGCTGATGACTATTCAGTAAGCCTCGGAGCTGCAGCGACTGTTTGCGGTGTGATTATTGGATCAATGGCAGTTGCCCAAATCTTCTCCTCAGTATATTTCAGTGCCTGGTCGAACAAATCGTACTTCAGACCCCTCGTATTTAGCAGCATTATGTTATTTCTTGGGAACCTGCTCTATGCTTTGGCATATGATCTGAATTCCCTAACTGTTCTTATTGTTGGACGACTACTGTGCGGGTATAGTTACTATTATCTCCTTGTTTTTCTCGGTAGAAATCAGAAACTGTTGTTTGATCAAATTGGCAATCATCTGCAGTTTGGGTTCGGCCAGAGCCGTGAACCGCCGCTACATCAGCGACTGTGTACCCCTGAAAACCAGGATGCAGGCATCTGCTGGGTTTGTCAGTGCTAGCGCTCTTGGAATGGCATGTGGTCCTGCTCTTGCCGGTCTGCTGCAGACAAAATTTAAGATCTATGGGCTTACATTCAATCAGAACACCTTACCTGGGTGGGTCATGTGTCTTGCTTGGCTTGCATATTTGTTGTGGTTGTGGATTTCATTCAAAGAGCCGGGCCACATTGCTACAGAGAATTCAGTCAGCACGCAGTCATCTGATTCTGGTAAGCTCTTTTACTTTGCGTGATTGAAAAACACGACTCTTGTCACTATCAGGAACCATATGCTTTCAACATGGCTTACAAAATTTCTCCGTCAAAACAGGCCGTCGAGTAGGCGGTCATTTGGAGGATGGCCTCGGGGAGCCTTTGCTCATAGATGCAAAGCCAGGGCAGGATGACGATGGCCAGGACAATGACGACAACGATGACGACCCCGAAGAATCTCATAGACCCGCGACATCGCTTGCTGCAGCATACAGATTGCTGACGCCATCTGTGAAGGTTCCATTCTCTACCATTTTTTTCAGATGTTTTGCTTGTAATGCCCTTTACTATCATAGATGCACGGTGCAACTCCTGCTTCTCAGTGTTTCTTCTGCATTAGCTTACGTCTATTCTCTAAAACTTATCAGGTTCAGCTACTGATCTACTTTATGCTCAAGTTCGCCATGGAAATTCTGCTCTCGGAGTCAAGTGTTGTGACCACGTTCTATTTTAAGTGGACAACTAGTACCGTGGCAATCTTTCTTGCAGTTCTTGGCCTGACGGTTCTTCCAGTTAATGTCATCGTCGGGAGCTATGTCACCAACTTGTTCCAGGACAGGTATGTGATGTTCGTTATTCACTTGCTCTGAAAGCCGGAGAGATCCTAAGACCAACCGCATTTGGCTCATTCTGCACTTGTTTTTTCTTGCTCAACTACCAAAGGCAAATTCTGGTGGCCTCCGAGATCATGGTGTTGATCGGCATTGTCATGAGCTTCTGCTTCACCCCTCACTATTCCGTCCCACAATATGTCACGTCAGCGCTCATCACCTTCGTATTCGCCGAGGTGCTCGAAGGTAAGCAGTGACTGGAGAAAGCTGCGTGCAGTGTTTCTGAAATAGTCATTCCACGTGTTTCCAACCACCTGTGAACAATGCGTTGCAGGAGTGAACCTGTCCCTCCTCTCTCGCGTGATGTCGTCAAGGCTCTCCCGCGGGACCTACAACGGCGGGCTGCTCTCGACGGAGGCCGGAACGCTGGCCCGCGTTGCCGCCGACATGACCATCACGGCCGCCGGGTATCTGGGGCAGAGCCGCCTCCTGAACGCCACCCTCCTGCCGTCCCTGGTGATCTGTTTAGCCTCTATCATCGCGACGTTCTGCACGTACAACTCACTCTACTAATGACCGATGAACCAACCGCTCTCCTCTTATACACGTTCTGCTTGGGCTGTGGAGCTGCTGGATTGCGTCTTTGCAGTGGGATACTTCTACGTGACATTCAGTTGTTTTGGTTGCTCCTGTCAACTGAATTTTGTCTCTACACTTACATGGTCTTCTAGCTATATTTACATTGTCTTAATACTATATTTACAATAATTTTTTCAGTGTAATTTATTGGACAGAGTGATGTAAGTTGGGAATAACACAAATACATACCAAATTTTTCAAAAAAATTTACAAATTATTTCTACGGATTCCAGACATTAGAGAAATATATGTCAAATTGTTCACAAATTCTTCACAAATTTAAAAAAATATAAAATCTTCACAAAATTTCGAAATGTCGTGCCACGCTGCCGCCACCGACGCCGAGGAAGGCGTAGCGTCTGGCCTCGGCTGGTACTCCGAGACATGGTACTGCCACATGTGTTGTTGCTGCTGCTGCGTCGGCATGAGTTGCTACAGCTGCTTCATCATCATCGGCGACGAGGTCGCGGCGGGAAGGACGGCGCGCGGGCCGTACCCCGGGCTACACACGTCCCGTGGCATTTGCAAGCAGCAAGTCCACCCAGAGATGAGAAACGCAATCGATCAGATCCAACGCTCGAAGGGCTGGGGCGGCGTGACGCTGTATCGAGCGGCAGCTCTCGGGCCGGAGTCAAGATCCGACGCTGGAAAATTCGGTTGACGGTGGCAAGTAAATCATGTGGTGGACGTATAGCGTTTCCGTTGCAGTGACGCTGTAAATTTTGCAGGCTGCCGCTGCTAATGTAAGCTAAGCTTCGAGTGGTCCATGTGTGCCGAAGCCTACAGGCTGTAGTGTTGCAAACTTGCTACGGCTGTAACAGAAACATGTACGCGTTAAATAAACTGCCCTACTGATCTAATATAACAACGAGAGTCTGACGCGGCAAGTTCAAAATTGCCGTCAGAGTTTAAAGTTCAGACATTCATTTGCTGGATTCATTGAATAGGATATATACTAATTGGTTGCAAGCAGCGAACTAAATACTAGCACAGAACACCATACATGTTTGAATTTTGATGCGAGGTGCCGCGCGAACACAAGGTTGCCGCGTAATTCTGCAACCAAGTGAAAGGCCACTGGTAGTTTTTGCCGTTGGGTGGTTGAGGCCTTTCTTTCCTCACACTCATGGCATGCTCGGTCAAGCTGTGCAAAATCAAATGTTTATTTTGCCTATGGTCGTACCTTCATCATGAAGTCTCCGACTATCCGTATTGCCTTTCGGTTGCCTAGCAAGAAGCTGACAACTATGAAGCAGAGCCAATTATTCACCATATCCGAATCTGCCGCACGGTTTGAGGTGACACAAAGGCTGCGGACCACGGAGACCAAACAGTATTGCTATCTATCATAATTTAGGAGCTTGTATCAACTGATTTTTGGACCGTTCGTTGCCGTCGGCCGATGGCCCAGGCTGTCCGATGCGTCCGCCATTGTTAGGTGTATGCATCCATCATCCGTGCGCGCGTAGTACGTGGCAAAAGTGGAGCAGCGGCCACCATGCCTGCTGGCTGGGCGCGTGCACGCAGGAGATCCGATCCAGGACACGTCGCATGCAGTTCGTCATGCACGCTTCTCGCTATAGAAAAATTTGTAAATTTGTAAGTTTGTGAAAAATTTGATGATATTTATGAACAATTTGATATATTTTTTTATATATCTGGAATCCATAGAAAAAAATTTGTATTTTTTTTGAAAAATTTGGTATATATTTGTGTTATTCCCAAATTATATTACTCTTTTCAATAAATTACACTGAATAAATCATTGTAAATATAGCAATAAGGCAGTATAAATATAGCTAGAAGACAGTGTAAGTGTATGAAAAAAATTCAGTTGAGAGGAGAGGTCAAAACAACTAAACGTCGCCTGGACATATCCAGACCAAAAGAGCCGGTGCGTCAGCTCAAACCGCACCAAACAAACTACCAACTCACCCAAGAACAGTTTCTTCAGCAAACTCTGATTGCTTGCTAGTATATAAGCACACGAAACTCTGAGAGTTGGCATCATCATCAAACTCGAAATCCAACAGCTTCCTTCCTGTCGATCCAATGGCTTCTGTCCTGATCTCAGCACAAGCAATGGCCGTCCTCGCTGTCGCAAGCTTCTTCGCACTCCTGTGCATCTCTCAGCAAGGTGACCGGTCTTCTTCCTGTTGTTGTGTTTCTTGTTTCTGATGTCAGGTTCGTCATTGCCTACGTTGTGACTGACTCTTCATTCTTTGTGATGTGTGCGTGGCAGCGCGAGCTGCGAACTACACGTTCATGAAGGACGCGGTGCACGCGCCGCGGATGGCCGACTACGACTACATCATAGTCGGCGGCGGCACGGCGGGTTGCCCGCTGGCGGCCACCCTGTCGGACCGCTCGCGCGTGCTGCTACTGGAGCGCGGGGGCTCCCCCTACGAGGACGCGCGCGTGCTGAGCATGGCGCACTTCTCGGAAGTGCTGGCGGACACGTCGGCGTCGTCCCCGTCGCAGCGGTTCGTGTCGGAGGACGGTGTGATCAACTCCCGCCCGCGCGTGCTGGGCGGCGGCAGCTGCATCAACGCCGGGTTCTTCACGCGCGCGGGCGCCGGCTACGTCAGGGCGGCCGGGTGGGACCCCAGGGAGGTGCGCGCGGCGTACCGGTGGGTGGAGGACGTGGTCGCGTTCCGCCCGGCGCTGGGCCCGTGGCAGGCCGCCGTAAGGAGGGGCCTGCTGGAGACCGGCGTGCTCCCGGACAACGGGTTCACGTATGACCACATCCCAGGGACGAAGGTCGGTGGGTCCATCTTTGACGAGGACGGCGGGCGGCACACGGCGGCGGACCTGCTCCGGTACGCCAACCAGGACGGCATCGACCTGTATGTCCGGGCGAGAGTGTCCAGGATCTTGTTCCGTTACAAAGGTGAGAGCGTCTCACGGCATGCATAACTGAATGCCGAATCCGGTAAGCTTTGTTAAAAGTGTATCTTGCAAGAAAAATAAAAACGGTTGCAGGTAAGTGTAACGGTAGTACTAGTACCCGTGGCTTCTTTGTCGGTATCACTTGCTTTGGGCAGAGCTCGGCGTCACACCGGAGAAGTGATCGACGAATTCGATCGACTGCCAACCGCACTAGAAAAAAGAAAAAAGGTTGAAACCGCGGCAATGCATATTTTGTTGCAGGAACCAAGCCGGTGGCGGAAGGCGTGGTGTACCATGACTCTCGCGGCAACTCTCACACGGCGTACCTCAGCCCCGGCGCCGCCAGCGAGGTCATCCTCTCAGCGGGGGCGCTGGGCAGCCCGCAGCAGCTGATGCTGAGTGGCATCGGCCCAGCCGACCACCTCCGCTCGCTCGGCATCGACGTCGTCCTCGACCTGCCGGGCGTCGGGCAGGGCATGTCCGACAACCCCATGAACGCCATCTACGTGCCGTCGCCGTCGCCGGTGGAGGTGTCGCTGATCCAGGTAGTCGGCATCACCCAGTTCGGCAGCTACATCGAGGGCGCCAGCGGGGCCAACTGGAACAGCCACCCCTCGGGCACGCAGACGCAGCCTCCTCGGAACCTCGGCATGTTCTCTCCGCAGACGGGGCAGCTCGCGACGGTGCCGCCCAAGGAGCGGACGCCGGAGGCCATCGCGCGCGCCGTGGAGGCCATGAGCCAGGTCCCCGACGCGGCGCTCCGTGGCGGGTTCATCCTGGAGAAGGTGCTGGGCCCGCAGTCCACGGGCCACCTGGCGCTCCGCAACCTGAACCCCGACGACAACCCCTCGGTGCGGTTCAACTACTTCGCGCACCCGGACGACCTCCGCCGCTGCGTCGCGGGCATCTCCGCCATCGAGCGCGTGATCCGCTCCAGGGCCTTCTCGCGCTTCACCTACCCCAACTTCGCGTTCCCGGCCGCGCTCAACGTCACGGCCGACTTCCCCGTGAACACGCTGTACCGGCGCGGCGGCGGCGACCCCAGGGCGCTGGAGCAGTTCTGCAGGGACACCGTCATGACCATCTGGCACTACCACGGCGGCTGCCAGGTCGGCCGGGTCGTCGACCGCAACTACAAGGTCCTGGGTGTCGAGGCCCTCCGCGTCATCGACGGCTCCACCTTCAACGCCTCGCCGGGCACCAACCCGCAGGCCACCGTCATGATGCTCGGCAGGTACAGAATCAGGACATCGATCTCTCGCGCGTCTCTTGGGTTGGGTAACATGGCGCGACGTTCGTTCTTGCCGGCGATTCAGTTCAGGGCCTCGATCTCACTGACGTGCGGTTTTGTTCTTTGATCTGGCAGGTACATGGGCGTGAAGCTCCTGAAAGAGAGGATGCTACTGGAACCATGAGGCAGGAAAAATCTCCAGTCTGATACCTCTGCACACGCGCGTGTGCCTTCTGCGTTTAACCTTCAAGATTCTTTTAGCGACGATCGTACAAGTTATTGGAGATGCTAATTGTAATGGATGAATTCCACGCCAATTAATTTGCACAAAATGTGGATGGTATTTATACCGTTCATTTCATGTCTAAAGTCTAACTCTATTGCGTGGAGTCCTAGAACATTTCTGGCCCCTTGTCGTCAGACACGCATTTTTCTTGCAAACATGTCTACATGGACGTGGCCGTTTGTCAGTGAAACTAAAGGGCAGCCTTTGTTCTCAATCTTGAGCCAGAAACTCCACCAACTTCTAAGGCCGGTGTCGGTGGAGATTTCATGGTCCTGTTACCGATGCATCCATATTTTGAAAATAGTGCAGAAGAGTTTCATCCCCATAAAACTCTTTCTACTCCCATGAAACTCTTATTATCTCTCTCGTCATCAATACGGTGCCACATCAACCTATTTAATGCCCATAAAACTCTGATAAAACCCCACCGAGACCGGCCTAAAATACAGTACTCTACTTACTGTATTTATGAGACTCGATCTGATATTCTGATCCGTGCTTGTCGGCACGACCGCACGAAGCCACGAACCGTCCATTATGAAGCAGGACCGAGTAGCAGTCGCTTTCGCAGCCCACAGCAGATTGGTTGCAAAAGAGCAAAACTTTTCGCGCTACCGCTACGCCAGGGGAGCCCAGTGACCAGTGTCCTAATTTCTCAATATGCCATACCAGAGTTGCCTATCAGCTAATCCGAAGGACCTCTAGTATCATCTACGTATGCTGCACTAGTACGTACCATTTGTGTACTAATGGGGTGTTAATTAAGATATTTGAAGTGCAAGGTAATGCTTCAACTCTCACCACGGTTTGGCTTGCCTGTCGTTTCTGAAGCAGGATAGGTGTCGTGTTGCTTTCTACGAGTAGTACTAGTACATCATTTTGATGGTTCTGGGACGATGCCAGCCACCAGCCAAGGTTTCTGTTTTGATCTCAACTGATGCTCGCGTTGCAGGCTTGCAGGGCGTTCTGGCTTTGGTCGGTAAAGCTAAAGCCCAATCAGTACTTGTTCGTGGATCTTCGATAATTTTTGCCTTCTTGGCAAACGCAGTACTACTATGAAAAATAAAAAGAAAAACTCTGGACTACGGGGATAGACACCACCGAACTATTTTAGTTTAAAGTACATGATTTCTCACCTAGCCCGAGAAAATCTCCGAACCTCATGTCCCGCCCGCACACGAGGACGGAGGACCCCTTACCCAGTGAGAGGGCTTACCCGGTGAGAGGGCCGGTCTATTTTACCTGTGCGTTGGAAACGCGGGATAGGCGAGGGTTTTTTTTTCACACCGCCAATCAAAAATTCGCCTGACCAAGTGTTCGAACTCTGTTCACGGGAAACGCCACCCGAAGGCTTGACCAAGGCAGTACTACTATGAAGCACGAGTTCTACTGACATCATTTCTTTAGAACCTAATGTAATTGCTGAAACACTACTAAAAATTGTGGATCTCCAATTCAAAAAAAATGCGGATCTCAATTTATGAAACTAACCGTAGGTTTACATTAGGAAGTTTCATTTCATTCATGCTTCGGGTAACATCACCTGATCAGCAAGGGCTGCAGGACTCGAGTGCAGTCAAGAATTGCAAGAGTACATACGGGCCTAAAAAAGTACGAAGAGACATCGCAAGAACATGGCAGAAACACAGTGCATGCCGTGTAAGTTAACGTGGCCGACTACCCACGAACGGCCATTTCTTTTCTTTTTGTATAACCACTTCTTTTTTCTTCTTATAATAATAGCCAAAGATCCGATCACTCTTGTGATGGGGCGCACATGACAACGATACGGTCTAACGTCTCACTGGCTTTCGGGGCCAGTGGATCAACCGGACCCAACGGCCAGAGAGAGCAGGCGTTGCTGAGGTCCAGGCTCATGGGCCGTCTCCGGGCACGAGGTCACGTGGTCACGCTTGGTTCTCCCGTTCCACAGATAAACGCAGATCTCGGAAAGTAAACTAGCGGACAACCCCCACCGCGTCGTCGCCAATTCCGCCCGATAATCAAAGTACTACTACTCCTAGTATCGCAATCGCAAGCTGTCTGTAGTAATTAGTGTAATGATAATTGAGCAATCGGCGTCTCCATATAAATGGAAATTTTAACCACTTGGCCAATGCAAAGTTCGTAAAAGTGGTTTTTGTTCTCTGTGTCTCTTTTTTTTTTGAAAATTTTGCTCTCTGTCAAACTTCCAGCTCAGCTGTCGCGCAGCAACAGTTTAATCTGCACCCTGTCGGTGGATGCAGCCGTTACACTCCAGGTCATGGCGAGTGCGAAACACGATCGGCCAGAGTGAGCCGCCGACGGATCGCGCACGGTTGCGGTGGACCAGGCTGTGTTGCGGCGTCACCGTCGGTGTTCGCGTGTCCCAGTCCCAGCCCAATAGCTCCAGAGTCCAGACAGACCAGGGACTCTCTGACAGCATCAGCTCACCTCGGCAATAAAAGAGCATCCGCGTCTCCTGTGATCCTCCCTCCCCCCCTCCCCAGCTCAGCTCAGCTCCGCCTCACCAGTCGCCACCACCACTCTGCCACTCCCCGCCCTCCATCCCGGATCTCGGCATGGGCGCCGCCACCACCAACGGCTCGGCGGAGCCGGCGCTCAAGTTCCTCATCTACGGCCGCACGGGCTGGATCGGGGGCCTGCTGGGCGACCTCTGCGCCGCGCGCGGGATCCCCTTCGCCTACGGCGCGGGCAGGCTCGAGAGCCGCGCCTCGCTCGAGGCCGACATCGACGCCACCGCGCCCACGCACGTGTTCAACGCCGCGGGCGTCACGGGGCGGCCCAACGTCGACTGGTGCGAGACGCACCGCGCCGAGACCATCCGCGCCAACGTCGTGGGCACGCTCACGCTCGCCGACGTCTGCCGGGGCCGCGGGCTCGTGCTCATCAACTACGCCACGGGATGCATCTTCGAGTACGACGAGGGGCACCCGCTCGGCTCCGGGGTCGGCTTCAAGGAGGAGGACACGCCCAACTTCGTCGGATCATTCTACTCCAAAACCAAGGCCATGGTACCAACTATAACTCTCTCTCCTCTTCCAGCATTATGCTATACGTAGCTTTTATGATCAAGGTTCTCTGCAAATGGCAAGTCGCAAGAAATCGTTCCCGTTTTGCTCAAATTGAAGTGGCACTGTCTGTCTGATCGCGCGTCGAGGGTATGTCCCGGGGTGATTAGTTCGATGAGCATGGTACAAAACTGTGCCTCTCACTTGTCGATTTCTCACTAGTGGTTGGAGTTCGATTCAGGCGACAGGCACACTTTATCCTGAAGGGTGCTGTCACTTGGATCTGGCGTAGTACGTACAAGATCCGTACGTAGCTGATAGTGTGTGCATCTTGGTCAGCGGTCAGCATAATGGTTGATTGCGTTGCCATTCAGCTCTGGTTGACTTACCCGGTCGCTTCGCTGAAAAAACGAGTAAAAACACTGTTCCGCTGATTCGACGTGAGGGAGAAAACACTGTTCTGGCTGAAAAAGCAAAATGATGACTTAGCTCTTGTTTAGTTTCCACCCTAAAACTTTACACCCTGTCACATCGAATGTTTGGACACATGCATGGAGTATTAAATATAGACTAAAAAAATAACTAATTGCACAGTTTGCGACTAATTTGCGAGACGAATCTTTTAAGCCTAATTAGTCTATAAATTGACAACAAAGTGCTACAGTAACATATGCGCTAATGACGGATTAATTAGACTTAATAAATTCGTCTCGCGGTTTACTGGCGGATTCAGTAATTTGTTTTTTTATTAGTATCCGAACACTCCATGCGACACCCTCATCTAACATCCGATGTGACATCCCAATACTTTACACGTTGGATCTAAACAAGGTCTTACTAGTATTTCTGAATGAAGCCTGTAGAAATTTCTGTAGCGCTTTGAGTTCCCAGAGCAGTCTGATCCGGTCTTCCCCATCCATCCACACTAGCTAGTTCTGATCCTGCCATGGTGCTCAGTATTTGTGCCTGTACACTATCATGTGTATGGTTTGGCGAAAGATAAATTTTGTTTCATTTGGAGCAAATATTTTTTATAGAGGTCCTTGATTTAAATGCAGATGCTCACCTCAACATATACTACCATGTTACACTAATTCAAATATATGCGAGGCTAATTCAGTTTTACTCGGAGGAAAACCATGTATTTTGAATAGAGACAGCAACTTGGAAACTAAAACAGAGACTTGTATAAGCTGAACAAGTAATTGACAATTTTTTTTGTTCGAAACATCAGTAATTGACGATATCAGTTGCTACATTTCTGTTTGTATTTTACACGGTGTATGTGATTGCTGCAAAACGCACCAAGTCTTATTTTAGAATGCTCGCTTTTGTTTTCTCAAACTGTAGTTTCTTGCCAAACAATGACTTGTTGAATGGTATGGCTCCTGCATCTTGTGGCTAAACATCCACGCTTTGCGGCTGTTCGCTTGGTTGATAAGTCATGGCATGGCTAAAAGTACTGTTGGCTGATTTGTTGTGATAGAAAAATACTGTTCGTTGGCTGAAAAAGTACGGCTTATAAGCCAAGCGAACAGGGCTTTGAGTCCCACTAAGAAGAGACTAGCTGGGTTTAGAGTGGAATTGACAAGATATGGTCCCATGATCAGTTCCTGCTCGGTGCTCGGTCTTAAGGACATCTTGACGACTGTTGATTTGAATAAACTAGCTTCCTCAAGTATGTTTTGAGTGCAGACACCCAAAGCTAATGCAATAAGATATTAATAATCTTTCTGGATAATGGTATATTATGTCACCCCAATCAGGTAGTAAAAAAGTTTGAACTGCTCTAGATTGGAAAATAGCAATTTGAAATTAACGCTGTGACGAAATTTCTTAAATTGTATTGAGAGTTGTTCTTATGTGAGAGTGTGGAACTGATGATTA